TTGAGATCTGCAGAAAAACAACTTTGTCATCCTAATTTGTCCACTCTCACAACAGATGTTTTCTTTGTGGACAGTCTGTTAGTCTTTGATTTCAATTGTTCGAATCACTTCGTTTCATTTTAGTTTAAAACGTGTATTATGTTGACTGAGCTTGCTGGCGAGATCCACATTTGGCACTTGCTGAGTGTACAGGCATAACCAATAATGCATCCTAATTTATAATGTTGTGTTTTGTCCTTTTTCTATGAGTCCAACCATCTTGAAACCGATGTTGGATGTTATGAGCAGCACTCCACCAAATGCGACCAGGTAAATGTATTGATAAGTGCACTAAAACTCTTAGTTCTGCACACAACATGTCCTCTTCTGTGAATGTCCTGCAGTGAACATCTGAACTCCCGGGGGCCGGTTTTACAAAGATAGACTTTGACTATGGCTTAGATATAGTCAGACTTCAGATAGACATCAAAATCAGACCGTTGCACAAAGCACTCAAGACTCTGACTATCTTAAGTAGGAGTACACTGCAATGCATTCTGGGTAAAAAAAATTTGGGACACTTTTCAAAACAAAAAACATGGCGGATCGAGTAAGCGCATTCATCCGCTCAGTGCAGTTTACCCCAGCGGGAAATATGTGTGTGTTGGAGGAGTATAACAGTTACAAGGACATTTTACTTGGGAAATTTAGCGGAGAATGTAGTAACAAGAAGAAATGTTTCATTTGGAAAAAGATTGCTACGACAGTTAACAGCGTTAATCTGACCGTTGAGCGGAGCGTTACAGACGTACAGAAAAGATACAAAAAGATGGTACAAGATGCCAAAAAAGAAATATCCAAAAACGGGAGGAGGACCCCAAGATAAACTTAAAGACTACAGTGGCTCAACCTTTTTTGTTGCGCACAAAAAGTATTCTCGTCGCTTGATAAACTTAAGATTGAGCCACTGTAGTCACTCGGACTATTTTTACGATGTCTTTCATAACTTTTGGGCTGGCCAGTTTCGATCCCTTAAGAAGCCTATGGAGGAGTGATCCAGCTCTCAGATTTAATCAAAAATATCTTAATTTTGTGTTCCGAAGATGAACGAAAGTCTTACGGGGTTGGAACAACATGAGGGAGAGTAATTACTGATACAATTTTCATTTTTGGGTTAACTATCCCTTTAAGTTAGCCTGGGGGGGGGAAGGTGTCTAATTTTTTTGGTCTAAATTAAGTCAGTCTTTATTTTTGTGAAACAGTCTAACTTGCATTAAACTAGTCTATGAGCAAATTTTAGACTTGTCTAACACTATAGACCGGTCTAAAACAGCTTTGTGAAACTCTGCTCTCCAGCATATGCTCATCGTTTACCGGCTGACATCGTGCTAAAGGAGGAACACACACTTTCCTCTGAGGTGGACTTCCTGTAGCGTGTGCCTCTCTCATCCACACCAGCACTATCTGAGATTCCTGTCTTGTATCCTGTTGGACATGAAAGAGCTCCGGGAGAAATCCCATGAGTCTTGTGGGCAGATGGAACGGGAGCGCATTGAAGGACGGGAATGTCGTCGGAGCGCTGCGGCAAGAAAGAGATCATTCTCTCCAGATGAAACAAACGTGTGAGGATGAGAGAGATCTTTGTGATCTCCACACGTTCGACAGGCTCAAAGTAACTACAAACACGTCCGGTAGTGATTTGTGTTGAAGAACATATGAAAAATGAATGGTGGCCGCATTTTAGCACTATATGACATTTAGTATTTGCAACTCTGTGCTTCTTTTATTGGCCAATGCAGATCCAGTAGACTACTGTTTAAAGGTTTGGGGTCGGTGCGAATATTTTTTTTTTATGTTTTTGAACAAAGTCTCTTATGCTCTCCATTTATTCCATCAGAAATACTGTAATTAAAATTAATTTATTATTTATTCATTTTCAGCATCATTACTCCAGTCTTCAGTGTCACATGATCCTTCAGAAATCATTCAAATATTCTGATTTGCTGCTCAAGAAACATTTCTGGTTTTATCAGATTTATCTAAATTTTTTTCATGATTCTTTTGTGAAAGTTCAAAAGAACAGCATTTATTTGAAGTATAAATCATTTGTAACATCAATATATTTACTGTGACTTTTGATCAATTTAATGCATCTGGCAAAATTAATTTCTTTAAAAAAAAATCATACTCATCCCAAGCTTTAGTACATGCTTCTACTGTATATACAGTACTGTTCAGTATACAGTTATCTTTTGCTTTAATGTGTTAAACATTTCCAAACAATCAATTTGCAATTTTTGTTTGGGGGGGAGGGGGAAAACCCAGACAACTTCGGGCAAATGTAGATTTGCTCTGAAAGTTAGTCTGGCAAAGAGCTCATTCAAGCCCATTTCCAATCCGCCGAAATCGAGGCACCAATCAGAAGCGTTGGGGCGGGCTTTACACGATGACGACAGCGCTGGGATTTTGAAGCAGATTTTGTAGCCTACATTACAAAGATGGATGCCGCCGTCCAACATCACTCGTTCGAATCAGCTATCGCGTCTGTTTTAAGCCATTTGAACGTTTCCTTTTTGTTAAAAACCGAGCAAAGAACAACACTCGGAGATGTTTCTCCACCGCTCTGCATACGTCATCTCCTTCATCGCTCTGATTGGGTTTAGGTCTATCCGCGACGTCCGTTGGTGACGCCCCTCTGGAAATGATTTGTCTACGACGCTTTGCCAGACCATAACTCAGTTACAACTGAGAATGCTCTGGTTTTAACCAGGCTAGGGGTGCGTCACTCGACGGGAAAAATGGTCGGAAAAGGGTTGTCCCTATTCTCTTAATGAGTAATGGCCGTGTTTTGGGTGCAACGTGCCAATCAAGAAACCAATCAGAGTCTCATCTGAATGCTTCTCCAGAGGTCAAACGGATCTGCTCGTGTGCGAGGTTAAAGCGCAAGCAGACCATCTATGGGACAAGCCGGATTCCACCATATCTTTATGTACACAATATTAATCTTTTACATTGTAATCCTTTTATTTTTAATATTTGGCATGTTTGTGTGCTGCTGCGCATCCCTGTGTGTGTAATAAGCAGAGTGTACACGTGTTGTGGACCCGCCTATAGACTCATATTACTAATGCTCCCTTTAAATAACAAAAAAAAAATTGCGCCATTGACTTTAGAGCAGGTTTCAGTTGGTCAATGGCTCAGTCAAAACAGCAACGCTCCAACATGCGCCTGAACACACACCTGGTTCTTAGACCAGCAGCCCATGGGCGCACAGATGGGTACAAATGCATTTGCTATTTAAACAACGTGGCGCAGGACGTGAAAATGATAATTGCGTCGGGCTGAAACTAGCAAAACACACTTGCGTTGTGCCTGGTGCTGCATCGGTAGGGCCCTTGATCTTGCGAGTGTCACAAAACATGCAAGCAACGTAATATACGTAATTTCCCAACGAGCCTGTGCTGGCGTGTACATGTTAAGTTGTATTATTTTCCTCAACAATCAGTGTTATTCTCTTTCCCACAGGCCTCACGGAGGTTCACCCGTGCGAGGAGGAGGCAGAAAATAAAGAGGCTGGAGAGGCCGAGCAACATCACTGACCATGTAATTATCCACTCATGTCTCTGGGATGGCAGACGCCACGGCTCCCTGACATCTCTTCACCCGCTTCACCTGTCACTCATCTCATGTTTCTGGCAGCCCTCGGCTGACCCGTCTCGCCCCCCCGCCCCCCGTGACATCCACCCCCGTCCTCTGTCACCTTTCCCACCTTCCCTGTCACACGTACGTGTCGACCAGTCTCATTTTCGAGTGAGAGGGCCACCCGTGGACGCGACATCTCTCTGTCTGCACGTCTCATTAGAAACAGCTTGGCTGTGGGGCTGACAGCGCTAATCGAGGAGCTCGACAGGAACCGGCCAATCTCTGTCTCGGGTCGAGATCTGCCCCGCTCGTGAACCTCCCCGACCGCTGGCCAGAGGGAAAAAACATCTGTCCGCAAGATAAGTGCAGTTTAATAGGGTTCTGCATCAGTTGAGGCTGAAAGGGACATTTTAAAGGAACGATGAACATTCGGTCATTATTTCCTGGCCCTCATGAGGTCCGAACCTGTGGAACACAAAAGGAGAATTTCGAAACACTTTGGTAACATTAGTAAACTATGAACTAACAATGCAAAATACTTCTATCTAAAGCATTTATCAATGTTCATTTCAACGTTTTCTAATACATTATTAAAATCAAACGTTGCATCTGTTAATATAATGGACCTGAGCTGACATGAAGTAACAATGATAATTATTTAACTTAAAAAAAGACTTAAAAAAATATTCTCAGTGTAAGTTAATGCATTAACTAAAGTTACTAAGTGTTATTGAAGAATCTTCATGCATCTCTTATTAATAATATTACTATAGTAGATTTATGAATGATCACCATGCCAACCATGGTACTTACATAGTCATGTCTAAAATAAATCACAACCTGATGTTTTATCTGATGCACAACAACTATAGATATAATACAGAAGAAGTTTGTTTTTTTTATTTAAAAAATTGTTTATTTTATTAACTTATGGTATTATTTTTTATTACGTTAATCATAAATACTACCACAGTATTATGACTTTGTCACTATCATGGTACTTTTTAATATTTCTTTTTATTATTACTATTATATATAAAACAAAATTTAAATGATTCTTTTTTTTTTTTTAAGACGTCTGTTTTTACTTCTTTCAAATATTCATTATTATTTTATTAACTTACACAGCAATATTATTAACTTATCATAAATACACATTACCATGACTCAATGTCATAGTACATTCCTGTAATTTTATTACAATATTTCAAGATTTTTTTATATTTAATTTAATTTAATTATTTTATTTTAACCCACTTTTTATTTTATCATGATTTATTTGATCTTTTTTGTCCTTTTATCACAAGCTGATGTGTTGGTTATTTAATTTGAGTTATTATCTTTGTTCTTTTGTTTTGTTTTTAGATGCTCTCAGCCAGGTTGGCGATGAACTGTTGCTGTTCGATGCAGCGTAAGGAAAAAATGAAAGCATATACAGGTTTGCTTACCTATTCAGTTTCGCATTGAATTTAAGATTTAGCTGTTTGTGTATTAAAGCGTTAAACAATCTCGCTCCTCAATACCTTACTGAGTCAGATTGCTCATGTCACAGGCCGATCATCGATCACGAGCGCCCACATCCACACTGAAATGCAACGTTTTTCTCCTCTTGTGCTTTTAATGTCTTGTGAATGTTTATTTTAATTTGGGGGATGGATCTAGATATTTCTTGTACAGCACTTTGGTCAACCAAGGTTGTTTTAAATGTGCTTTATAAATAAATTGAACTTGAAACGTCAGCATTTGATGGCCTGAATGAATCTCCTCAAACGTACATTTCTGCAGTAGACCTGATATTAGCGTCGGCCTCTTGTTGTGTTCTCGGATGTAACTGCACCAAACTCATCAAAGCTTCAGCGAGGGATGGAATATGCAGCGTTTTCTGCCGTCAAACTAAAAAAGGAGGTCAGTTGCAAACCCTGCAGCTGTAGATTAACAGACATTATGAGGAGAAGCTCAGGAGAATATGAGATCAGCTTTCAGATGGCCTTGTGCTGTTTAAACACAAAGACACAGAGTTAAACCCTCTCGCTCTTATTTCAGGCTTTGTTTGTCCTTGAAGAGTCGAGGCTGTGTTTGATGTGTCTGATAAACAAGCTCATCGCTCTTATTGTTGTTCTTAACAATGCTTTTCTAAAAAAAAAAAAAAAAGTCACATGATAATTTCTTTAAAAAAATAATTAATGAATGTAATCCTGTGATTGCTGCAGATCCAGAGCGAGCTGTGAAATTCCGTCATGAATATTTATGAGGACGTGTGACCCGGGGCAGGATGTAGACCGAGTGCTATCCCAGCATGCCCTGCTGTGAGGGAAGTTGATCAGATCATCTCCAGCTTATTGGCTTCATTCTGTGTTCTCGTGTGAACAACAGAAGAGAGTAAGTACATACTTCATCGAGAGCACAGCATTTCATGTGACTATTCATAATGTAAAACAATCATACAGAAACCCTTAAAAACTAAGGTGATGGTGTCAAATGCTAATATTGTGGTATAAAAGGCAAAGTCTCATTCATGCACATGGCATTTACATAGACACTTAGTAGCAAGCATGGTACTTAAAAGAATACCATGGTATTCAGCACAAGCTGATGTTTTACCTGGTGCATATTCACATGTTTGTGAACATCTATAGATAAAGTACAGAAGCAGATTAAAAGATTATTTTATTTTTTTCAAAACAATTTTTTTCTTTCATTAACTTACGGCATTATTACATTAATCATAAATACTACCACAAAATTATGATTTTATGTCAATTTCATGGCACTTCTCTACACTTAATATTATTATTTATATTCTTATTTTGTTTATTTTATTAACTTAACGCAATATTATTGTTAATAATTGTTACCACAACTCATGTGAATATCATGGCACTTTTCATACTTCATTTTATTAGACTATTTTATAAATAGCCTATTTAAAAAAAAAATTTGAAGTAATGCTTTTTATTTTATTTAAAATTTTCTTTTGTTTATTTCATTTAACGCATAGCATTATTATTAAAGGTTGGGTAGGTCGTTTTTGGTCTAAAAAACCTTTTCCCAAATTTGTTTAAACTTTCTATATATATCAATGCATAATTAAAATGTAAGTACTCTGATAAAAAGAGTATAAAAATCGAGTGACTCTAGACCGTTTAATCTGCACTAAACACAGCTCATTATTTCCTTCCGGGACGAAACAAAGGATTGGCTTAGGCGACTGTCACTCTCTCGCAACCATGGCAACACCCCCGCTGCTACATGCGCTGCCCACATGCGCGCACTCGTTTGACTCGAGGAGGGTAAGAGACTAGTAAGAGACACAATTACATGCAAAACACGGCGTATATGTTATGAATCTTACACAAAATTCACCTTCATCACAGTGTAACTGATTGTAATGGGAAAACGTGTATCAATGCAACCTGTTTTTAGCTTTGCTTTATGTTACTAGCTCGTTAACGAATCAAACTCAATATATTTTAAACTTTAACAGTATCGATATGCTAGCTTGATAGTGAGTATTAACAGCCATGTTAGTTGTTTATATTCATAATGATAAAGTTAGGTATTTTATTACATGTGAGTCTGACATGATGTCACTACATGCACTGCTCCTCTCCGCTTGGCGCTAGTAAGCGCGTCCTCCAGCTGTGAGCTGTCGGCATCGCACGTTCATGTGTTTTGGGGGCGTGGTTTTGGAAGGAGCCCAGAATGGAGGGGGTGGAAGTGAATGGAGATAAGTAGCTGTGTTTATTACAGCCCTGAGAGGACTACAGACACTTGATTTTTATACTCTCTTTTCCAGAGTACTTACATTTTAATTATGCATTGATATATATAGAAAGTTTAAAAAATTTTGGCAAAAAGTTTTTAAAAAAAATTCTACCTACAATACCTTTAAGTAAAAAAAAAAAAACGTAACACTTTACAATAAGGTTCCTTTTAAGTTTAGTTAATGCATTAACTAATATTAACTAACAATGAGCAATACATCCGTTACAGTACATATTAATCTTTGTTAACATTTCATATCTGTTTCAGATTCATAAACTAATGTTAACAGATGCAACTTTTGATTTTAATAATGTATTAGTAAATGATTAATAAATACTTTACATTGTTAACTGGTGTACTTAACTAACCTTAACAAATGAAACTTTATTCTAAAGCGTTAGCAAAAAAAAACTACCACAGTATTACAATAATTTTGCTTTCTTTTTCTTTGTGACAGATTTATAAATATGGAAAATGATAAATATTAGACTTTGCTGAAAATGTGAGTCTTGCTTGTCTGGTCAGAACTAGTGTGTTTCTGTGTGAGTCCTGTTTTATCATCAGCAGGTGCAAATCACAAGTCTAAACAACGAAATAAAAGCTTTAGGATTGGATAAACCCTTCTGTAGTGGCTTCTCCAAATGTGTGCGTATGCATCATTTACAGTAAAGCACAGAAATGATTTCCCTGAGTAAATGGCTCCTTTATCCTCCTAATATCACAGATCTGCCTTTGAGTCGGATCACAGGTTTTGGTAACAGGCCGACGCCTTAAATGAAACACCAGGCTCCGCTCGACACACTTTCTTAGGTAGTTACACGGACATTTCCATGCTAACCGTGTTCCCCGACTCGCCTCCTCTCCAGAGTTAGTTACCGCGGCCTGTGAAAATGCAGGAGGGAAACTATTATCTGTAGTCGGTGTGAGAGTCTGGCGCTGGAGTGCGCCGCCTTCATTTTCCCAGTCAGCAGGAGTCCTGGCAGGGTTATAATAGCCTTACATGTGTAATTAACACATGGAAAGGCGAGCGGGACCTGTCGCGCAGGGACAGCAGGAGAAAGCGCTCTCATTCTTCTCTTGACTTTCTCCTCCTTTCTCTGGATGACGCTCTCTCGCTCTCTCTGGACGCGAACACACTTACAAACGTCTCCCTCTCACCTCCTCTCTCACTCTTGCTCTCTTTCACACGAGCTTTGTTCTCCTCTTTCGCTCGTTCCCTCGCTTTCACTCGCCATCTCCCACCTCTTTCTCTCATTGATGTCTCCTGCGCTTCTCTTGATCTCTTGTTCTCGACCCCTCTCTCTTTTCCAGGAGCTGAAAAATGGTGCCTGCTCCACAACGCCGCTTCCAAGAACTGGGAAAGACAATGGAAGACACCCTCCAGAAGACATGGACACATGAAATGTGTAAGCCTGAACATGAAGTGCCTGCTTGCATTAGGGAAATAAACACTGTGTTAAATCTATGCCTTGTTTTGGCACATTTATAAGGCAGGATTGCATGTATGCTTTGCAGAGGAGGCAATCCCAGAATGCAATGTCCAGGAAAAAATGACTCCGATTTTGGCAAACTAGTAGTGAGAAATGTTTATGATAGAGTCATTTTAGTAACACTTTAGTTTAGGGTCCAATTCTCACTATTAACTAGTTGCTTATTAGCGTGCGTATATAACTGGCTGTTTATAAAGCACATATTAATGTCTTATGCTGCATAATCATATTCTACATCCCTTAATCACCCAAAACCTAAACAAATACCTTACTAACTATTAATAAGCCATAAGAGTTTATTGAGGCAAAAGTCGTAGTTAATAGTTAGAATTGCACCCTAAACTAAAGTGTGACCAGAATTTTAAGTATATACTGAGAAATAGTGATAAATGTCATTTTTAATCAAAAATGATCAGATTTGTAATCATATTTAAAGATTTTACTCCATGTATGGGTGTTTCAAAAGTGGATTTCTATTAAAGATTTTTTATTTCTGATATATAAAAGCATTGTCATAAATTAAAGCTTATTTGTAACTCTTCTTTTTATATATATATATATAGTTTTACCCTGGTCCCAGACATGGAATTTAAATTAAAATATTAAATATTAATTTGTTTTTTAAATATATGATATGCTGAACAAACAGTACAATATTTATGTGTGAAAATGAAATCTTCACTTAAACTTTAATAAATAAATAAAAAATCATAAATTTCATTTAATTGAAACAAACTAAATTCATGATTTGTGGTGACAATTATTATTATTTAATACAGGGCCTAAAGTGGCCATGGTTGAAGAAACACTCATTCAAGACTAAATTGGAAAAGCTTTGTTGCAATATATAAATATTTTTTACAAATACAGTGACTTATAGCTTCTAAAACTGGGCCACGCTCAGTGCAAAACAAAATTAAAATAATTTACTTTTCATCCAATTCTAAAAAATAATGATATAAAATGTCACTCATTTTGTGTTCGAAGTGTTTTCATGCTATTGATAGACAGTATTGATATCTTATGCTAATGTCAAACTGAACTAGTTGCATGAACAGACGCGTGGCTTAAGAACTAGTCCAACCAACTAGCAATTAGGGCTGATCAGTTCTACTTTTCATATTAAAATTAGACCAATCTACCTTTTTATGTAACAGACTTAAATAAGCAATGACCAGTCTTGAAGAAAAAAATTGAGATGACTAACTTAAGTTTAGTCTGAGCGGTTTCTGCAGCGTCCTCTGGAGTCAGCGTCGAGTGTGTTGCGAAACTGCTGATTGAGTGACTTCTGCCGATGTAAAGCTTTTCAAATCACTCGTTTCTGAAGTTCACGTTGTGTTGTGTTGTAGCTGTCAGTGTAGGCCTAGGCAGCAAGGCGGCTGGATTGGTTTTGGAGTGGATCTGATGTAAAGAAATCCCCCTAAACCCCCCACTGAGTAACCCAGCGAGCGCGAACCTGTAATTAACCAGCGATACATTAATTAAGAGTTAACGCCGAGAGAAAGGCTGTGGTCTAATTGAGGCCGACGTGGGTTGTAATTAGAGCTATAGTCACACATTGAGATTTTATGAATGAGTGACTTTGCCAGGTTTTGACGCCTTCTCGTTCTCGTGCACCAGCCACTAGCTGTTATTAGCCCGTGTGGACGTGAACGAGACAATATGTTGCCGGTCAAATTTCTTTTCTTTTCTTTTTTTTAATCCAAACAGCAGATTTTTTCTCCAGGCTTTCTCTGACTCTCCCTGTTGTTAATTAGCGGTGTCCGACGCGTGGGGGAAGGAGGAGGTGGAAGCTGGGAATCCAATTATTTCTCTCTTTTTTGCCCCAAACGTTTTTTTTTTTTTTTTTTTTTTTTTTTTTTTAGCCGTGTCTGGTGGGAAAGAGGAGGATGAGCTGCAGAGATGTGGACAAGGGCACAAGCAGGAGCGGATGAGATGTCCAGGACAGAGAGAGGCCGTATAGCTTTCACTGTCAAGAGTCTGTTCTGAGGTGTTCATGATGAGGTGACCAAGAATATATACAAATTAATTCATTACTTCCCGTTTTAAAACTTAGCAGTTTTGTTTATGTATTGGCACTGTATGCTTCTTCACTTTACACAGAATTAGCACATCGCAGTTTTTAAGCTTGTTTCTGAAAGAAGTGATGGGCAAGGCTGCATTTATTTCAGTAAAAACAGTAATATTGTGAAATATTATTACAATTTAATATAGCTGTTTTCTATGTGAATATATTGTAAAGTAGAATTTATTTATGTGATCAAAGCTGAATTTTCAGCATCATTACTCCAGTCTTCAGTGTCACATGATCCTTCAGAAATCACTCTAATATGATGATATTTAATTTCAAATATATATATATATAGAGAGAGAAAGCTGGAGATACAGACACACACGTATACACTCAGTATATACACACATACTAGTACAATTTGTATTATCAAATGGCGTTTGCATTGATATATAGGCCTATATATATTACCCATTTATTTATTTTTTTATATATTTGTTATCAAGTAGTTTATTTATTGATTGATTCATTATATGTAAAATTTACATAAATATTCTTTCAAAATTCTCCTTTCATTGTCACTGAAAATGACGTTTGGAATCACTTGTATGACAGGAACTTTTCCTTTATTTAATAACTTGATTTAAAAAAAAATAGTTTATAGCTGTAATTTGTGAATAAAATCTTCATTGTCAGTGAATTGTATTGAGTGAAATCAGTTAATGTCATACTATTTTATAATACATTTATTTTACTTTAAACCACAGGAATTAACGGTAACACTTTAGTTTAGGGTCCAATTCTCCCTATTAACTACTGGGATATTGTCTGTTTATTACTACTTATAAAGCACATATTAATGCCTTATTCTGCATGACCTTATTCTACATCCCTTAATCACCCAATACCTAAACTTAACAACTACCTCACTAACTATTAATAAGCAGTATCAGGAGTTTATTGAGGTAGAAGTCATGGTTAATAGTATGAATTGGACCCTAAACTAAAGTGTGACCGAATAAACAAAGTGCATTTTTTGTGTTTCACTCTCAGTGTGAATAGACCTTTAGTCCATGATTTGTTTCACTCTTGGTGTGAATCGTCCTTCAGTTGCACACACGAGAGAATCTCCAGAAATAAACTGAAGACAGGTGTTTCTTCTGCAGTGCCTTCAGTAAAAGTCTGTATTCTTATATCCTTCCTCATAATAGCTTGTATTTCATGTACAATCACGTAGCCTCGCGTAGCCAGAGCTTCTATCGCAGCTTTACTTGGCTAAGGACGTTTGACTGACATGTAACGCAACCAATCACAGCTCGTTTTGTTGCGTGTCATGTTTAGGGGCGTGCCATTGTAATGTCGATGTCCCTGTGTGCATCTAATAAATTATTCATTCAAGGACTTTATTCAAGTTTACTGCAACATTAGAGCCGTAAACTTCACATACTTTTGAAAACCCCGCGTTCAGTTGATCCTGGTGAGCGCTCATTGTCACAGTTGTAAACACAACGGCTCTCTTCTTCCATGAGGGGTTTTGGCATCACGGCATTTGTTTCCAGGCGGACAGATAAAAAACACGACACACACGTCTCCCGGACATCCTGTAGAGTTCAACCAATCAGATCGCGACTTTGAAACACCTGAAGTGTTTCTAGAAAAGTGTGCCGTATGCATCAGACGTTCAGCCAACGGTCCGTGTTTGTGACTCTGATGCTGAGACTATGTAGTCTATGTAATCTATGTAATCTAACTATTTAATCACATGTAGTCTAATATCTCTCAGTGTTTCAGCCCAAGACCAACCGGCTGTGTTTTCAAAACAATTCAAAACAGAAGCAACGAGGATCCGCTCCGGTCTCTGAGTGCAGATGTGCTGCTGGATTAAAGAGCAGAAGATGAGCATGTCTCTTACACCTCTGCTGCCGGCCGGAGGTCAACGGCTCCAGTGACGTGATTTACGAGTGTTTCTCCGGTCTGGAAGTCCAGTAGCTGTCGCTGACACTCTCGTTCCTCTTCTCCTCCACTCCACCTCTCATCAGCTCGTTCATCACTTCCTCAAGCACACCGCTTCAAAGCGTCGCTGATCCGTGTGTGTCCGCGGCGAGGGAAACGGCCTTAATCTGAGTCACACTGCTCCATTGATCTTCAGGCAGGAGCTTCAGTTCACGGCTGCGTGTGTGTGTGTGTGTGTGTGATTGTGAACCTGGAGATGCACGGCGAGCTTCTCGAAGCTTTAGGAGACCCAGCGAAGGGATTTGAGTCGCTGGTGGAAGAGTCTGTCAGCTGGGAGTCACTGGTGGAATAATCCATCCCTGGATCCAGTGAGTTTGTTGATCATTTCCAACAGTCCTGATTCGAATCGTCTGATTGCAGAAGTCACACACACACACACACACACACACACACACACACACACACACACACACACACACACACACACACGCACACACACACAGATTACACACACACACACATTACACACACACACACACATTGCCATGATCAGAGAGTAATGACTTCACTTTCAGTCTGTTTCTCTACAGGAGTCATGTGGACCACTTCTATCTATCTGTCTGTCTGTCTATTTACCTGTCTGTCTATCTATCTGTGTATCTGTCTGTCTGTCTTTATCTATATCTTTCTTTCTGTCTGTCTGTGTATCTATCTATCTATCTATCTATCTATCTGTCTATATCTCTATTTGTCTGTCTGTCTGTCTGTCTGTCTGTCTGTCTGTCTATCTATCTCTCTATCTGTCTATCTATCTCTCTATCTGTCTGTCTATCTCTCTGTCTGTCTGTCTGTCTGTCTGTCTGTATCTCTATCTGTCTATCTATCTATCCATCTATTAGTTATGTATTTATTTATTTATTTATTTTGTGCTTATTTGTATCTTAAAAGTTACATGTAGAGACAGCATCCAAGTCGACTTTTTTGTTTATCTGTTTGTTTGTATGTTTTTTTAATCTAATCAGGGATCATTTTATTTGTCTATTGTTAATTATTTATTTATTTAGTACCTTGAAAGATGTGGTCACTGTGAACTGTCATGCAAAAGCTACAATCTCTTTAAACGCACAGAAAGGAACACAGCATACAGGTTTGGAATGACATGAGGATGAGTAAATAATGACTGATACTATTCCTTTATTTTATGATAACATTATGAAAAAAAGATAGTAAGCGATCATTTGTTCCAAAGTGGTACAACAAACATTTACAACTGGCATCGATCTGGCTTCATGGCATATAGTATATAATTTTTTTTTTTTTAATGAATGTATTAAGGTGGATTTACATAACCTCAGGGATATGCTGACAGCACAAACACCGCTGAGCGCCAGATCCAGTGAGACGAGAGATGATTCTGCTGAGCTCGTGTGCTTATGCTTCACAGTCGAGTCCAGCCTAGAGGGAAGACGGTCATTAGGGCAAAGGCCATCAGTGTCTTTCTGCCCAGTCATCAATCTCACAATCCAGCTGATCCTACACAAGGGTCAAGGTTTGGCTGGACAGCAGGGTCCAGTTAGCCACTCCAGGAGATGATGGCCAATAAAAGCTGTGTATTCTGATGCAATCTTTTTTTTTACTGCAAATGTTTAATCATAGATGTCTTACCACCCGTTTCACAGCTTGCTATAGCACATCAGCCATTAGAGATGAATGTGAACGCTGTCGGATGCCTCGCTCCAGGTACTTCTGCTCCATGTTTCTCTCTTGCGTATTATCGCATGTTATAGATTCTCACACTGAGAAACCAACGTTCCACCTGCTAAAACGTGGCTCTTTTTCTTCCTTTCCAACTTCCGAGCTCACAGTCACAAAGACTCCCTTAAAGCACTTCAACAAATAATGGAGCGAGCGCATCCGAATCAAACCACCTCTCGCCCAAACCATAATTTTGTTTGGCCATTTCAAGGCCACCAGTGACACTAATAGCCATGCTTGTTTCACCATGACTACTTTCAGGCGGTCAACACACTCCATCAGCTCTCTCTCAAGACTCCATTTGGACTTTCATCTTCAGAAAGCATTTTTTTCCCTCAAATATCCACCTTATTTCGCCCCCAGCGAGTGCGGTTGGATACTCCACCACGTCTCTGCCCATTAAATGTAGCCTATCCTATGGCCTACTGACAGACATCAGTGTAGGTTGAGGGTCTTTGGGTGCAGTTGAATATTTTTAGCTTTTGCCCCTCAGAAAGCTTCTTAATTATCAGGATGAAAGGTTCAGAGAAGGCGTTAAGTGTTGGGAAGCCTGGCTAGCAAGCGTTGCTCTATGATCAATCACATACTAGCGCACAGACCTTTCGCTAAATTGTGACTGACACCAAGCTGCCTTTTTTGTTGAAATAAACGTATTGTGCCTTTCGTTTACCTGGGTAAATGTTCGAGAGCAGAGCTGTTTGAAGTAAGCAAAAGATGTATGTGATTTCTGTCGACTTTCGGCTGCGATGCGCTCTTGTGTGCTTCCTCATAAAAGGCTTTCTTGCCCCAACAAGGCCGGTTGGAAAGAGGTTCCTAATCTTACCTGAAAGAAAACGAATTTGAGCTGATTATTTGAAGTGGACCAGGGTCAGACACTGCAGGATATGGTTTATGCCTGAGATGTTCAAGTGAGCTCACTGTGTGCGGCTCTGTCTTATTCTTTGTTATTACACTGAAAGCCTGCACTGAGCACTGGATATATGACAGTTTTATGTGTTATTATCTAAAATGTGCTTTCTCGCTGGGAATCAGCCTTTCCCGTTTCCCATCAGCCCCTCCCAAAACACATGTGAGCATGGACATGAGCACTTTTAAACAACTTTATCATTCTAATTGTTTTTTAATTTATTTCAACTTGTGCTGTGGTTTTAGTGCTTTGTTTTCAACTTTAGTATTGTATTTTTTACGTTCTTTTAAATATTGTTTTGTTTTATCCTTAACTAGATTTTTCCAGAAAACAACATGCATAATACAGCATGGCGAATTTAAAATATTGATCTAGTATTTGAGAAGACTTTTTTTATTATTGTTTATTAATTTGATTAATTTGTGGTTGTTTCACTATGACTTAAAGTGTTGGGTATCCATTTATGAATAGTTTTGAATGGTAACCCTTCTTATGAAATGTGTATTTAACACTGTTTCTGAATAAGCCGTAACTGGCACTGTTTGATCAGTACAGTACATATTTGTCACATGATTTCTTCAGTTTCTCTTCTATATGGCGACTACAGGAGTCAAATTCTGCAAACTGTTTCCAAATGTGGCTGCTTTGTGTGGTAACCTGTAAAACACATACTGTATATGCATAGTTCTTTTATCTGCAGGTTATTTCTGTGAAAACAGTCACACGATCCACTTCTGGCTCTTCTGGCTCTTCGCCCCGAACACGTCCACATATGTGCCGGACAAAGAGGGTGTTTGTTGTGGTGTTGATACCAAGTTGCTGCTGATCTTCATGTTCTTCTTCTTCTTCTCCTCCTCCTCCTCGCGCTCAGCTTCTTCCAGGCCCGTTCTGACCTTCCCCAACATGCACATGGGCTTTTCTTTCCCTCCGCCCGCAGATTGATCATGCATGCTTCTCAGAGATGTTTGAGGAATGCTGATCAGCGCTGGACGCTTTCTGAGGGACCAGGTATAGTCTCACCTGAAATATGTCTTTAAAACAACGTATATGCCACAATTATTTAAATATAAGCAGACTATCAGCATCTGCTCACTTAGACAGGAAATTGTCATCTGATTGACATGCAAAATGGGCATCCACATTCAGTCTCGTTTTATGTGACATTTGGAGGTTTGACTAAAATCAGTGATACCACAAAAAAATAGACCAACATGCAACTGGATTTTTGCAAATACTTTACAAAAGTAAATCTTTTTTTCAGGCTTGTTATTGATGCTTTGTATTGTAATTGGTGTCTTTTATTTTGAAACCATTAAAAATCCCTTAATTAGCTGCCTTGTTTGTTCCTGTTAAATAAAGTAATTGATTAGTTGTGTGATGTGGACTAGTCCTGGGTCACATGACTTCATTGGTGTGCTCTGACAGAACGGGCATTAAGCATCAATAGCTCAATCAGTGTTTATGATTTGTGTGGTTGGAATTTCTATATTCAATAGTATTTTTTATTTTATTATTTTTTGCCAGAAAACAGCTTTCACAATGCATGGGGATGAAAACATTTGCATAATTACAAAACAATATTATTGTTATTATTATTATTATGTCACTGTTTCACTATGACTAAAAAATATTATTTGATTTTTTATTGTATTTTATTTTATTGCCAAAAACCAGCTTATATAATACAGCATGGGGGATTAAAAAATTATCATAATTACCAAAAAAAATATCATTATTATTATTATTATTATTAATAAGTCACTGTTTCACAATGACTTTAAAATTATTCTTATTGGATATTTATTATTCTTATTTATTTATTTTTTGCCAGAAAACATCTTACATTATACAGCACGGGTGATTATTATTTTTTTTTTTATCATAATAGATTTAAAAACTTTACGATTATTATTTTAATTTATTTATTTATTCAATTAATTTGTGGATTTTTCACTATGACTTAAATATCCAACCAGAATTATTATTCAGAATGATCTTATTTATTTTATTTTCGGCTTGTGTTTTTGATGCTTTATTGTGAATATATTTTCTACGCTCCAGCCTTTTAATCTCGGTGAGCTTCCTTGGTTAAATTAAAGGTCTAATAAAGTAGTTGGGTCTGTGTTGACTGTGTAGACTTCAGTATCATGCATGTGACTTTATTTTTTGAAAGTGCTTAGATTCATTAAACCTCCCAGAAAACGAAGCGTTTAGTGTAAATCCTCGGCCTCGCTGCTTCTGAGAGACGGCGTGTTGAGAAGACACAGCAGTGCCAGATGCTTTTAAAAAGCCGTTGCATCGTCCCTTCAGCTCCATGACAGACCCTGCGGAAATATTATGATAAGCTCTCAAGTTTCTATTAATATCATAAAAGGATCCTGTTCAGGTCCTGCACAGCAAATGTCAGGGTGGGGCTTTTTTATTCATATATTCATCCATATGCTTCCCGCGGTGCTTCAGAGATTTACATGTTTTCAGAGAGCCGTCGCTCTGGGCCCCTTAAGCTTTAGGGCCCCACTGTAGGGAAGTCAAAGAGGGGAGTTTGGAAGGGACAATGAATTACATTTACATTAAGAACAGGCTGTGCATCTTTGCATGCATCTCACGGGACTCTGTACTTGTTTACAACATGTAGATGGGTTATTTAGTAAAAGAATGACCTTATAAGCTCTTTTCCTGCTTCCCATCTGTCCTGCACTCGCTCTCTTGTTCTCTTTGTCATGTGACAGTGTGTTGGAGTGGGTCGTGGTGCTGGCCCGTTCACGCCTGAGTGCTCCGAGCGCTCATGGTCATTATCTGACCCCAGCTCTCCTGCAGCTGCACCAATTAGTTTTGACCCAGAAGGAATTTCAGGAGACAGTGAGACAGACATGCTTCCGTACAGCTCTGTGCGAGGATGCTCACTGCACGGTCACACACACACACATGCATGCATTTCTGTTTCCCTCACAATTGTTTGGAGTGCAGAACAGAAATAAGACGGGTCTATTTTAATGCATTTTTAGCACATTTGTAAATAAACTAAGCCGAGTCAGTCTTCTAAGGCTCAAACCTCAGAAGTGATTTGGATCACTTTAGTGTTTCCGACATGAAGTGCACACGAGACATTTTCCTCAACAAAGCCTTGAATTTGCTTACAAATGATATTTGTTTTTAATGACCCTACAAGTTTGATTAAACCATCAAAATATGAGGAAAATAATTAATCTTTTTTTTTAAATATGAGGGAAGAACAAAACATTCAACTTGGTTTTTATCTGACAAAATTATTTGGAAAAAAAGTGTGTATGTATATGTATGATGTGTGTGTATATATATATGTGTGTGTGTGTGTGCACGGTGTTGTGTGTAATGCATTAATTAACTACTGTAATTTAATTACTTTTCCCTTGAAAATTTAAAGTAAGGGATTACTCTTAATTTTTCTGTAATTTAATTACATTTACTTCTGATTAAATACTAATGTAATGAACAATTCAATAGTAGATTTAACATCAACATTTTACGTCTAATGTTAAAATGTATGTTTTTAATGTAACCTTCTCCCTTTATTACTTTGGTCAGTTCAAGAAAAATGTATGCAATTTAAAAAAATGTATGTGAAAGAATTAAAAGAGCAGTTTCATGTCCTGTATTGTTCAACTGGTTGAGGTTGATATGGGATTTAAACAAAAGTAATTAGTAGTAATAAAAAGTAATGTAATACTTTTTAGAGAGTAATTCGCATTAATCTAATTACTTTTTAGAGTAACTTACCCAACACTGTATATGTATATATACACTCACATAATATGTACCTTCTTTGACTGAACAGGTGTGCGTTTACTTAAATTCTACTGACGTTACACATGGTAAACGCATTATAACTGCAGCAGTGTATATAGCAGTCATGTGCTGAAGACCCAGTCTGGAGGATTATTCAGGGGCTCGGCGTAATGAAGTGGAGATGTGAGCCAGCGGGCCGGTCCCGAGTGCTGGAATGGTAATACTGTAATCTTCAGCCATTAGGGAGCATCAGGACCGGGCAGCAGGACGGACAGACTGCGACATCACTACGGTAATGAGGAAACTAAACACACACTTTACTGTACCTGCAGCGTCCAGGTGGCAGCGAATCTGTTACTGTGGGAACACAAGCTGGAACCAGGAACTGGGAAACAAAGTCAGGTAGGGTTTAATTCAGTCAATAAATTAACTTTACAGGATGCATTTCATTTAGTACATGGTCAAATTTAAATTAGATGTGCATTAAAGCTTGTGTGTGTGTTTGTCTGTCTGTCTGTGTGTGTGTGTCTGTCTGTGTGTGTGTGTGTGATGAGTAGGTTTAGGGGTCGGGTTAGTGTAAGGGGACAGAATATTTAGTTAATACAGTATGCATTACATCTATGGAGAGTCCCCATTTAGATTTTTTTAACTGTATTTCGATTTACAGTAAATGAAAAATACTGTATTTTAGTGGCGCCAAGGGAATATTTCCCACGATGTAACTTTAAAATACAGTAACATGCTGTATAACTGCCCTACAGTAAAATACAGTTCATTTTACAGTTAAATACTGTGAAATTTACAGAAATGTCTAACAGTGTAAGTAAACGTGTGTGTGTGTGTGTGTGTGTGTGATGAGTAGGTTTAGGGGTCGGGTTAGTGTAAGGAGACAGAATATTTAGTTTGTACAGTATAAAAACCATTACATCTGAGAGTCCCATTTAGATAGCTAAGTAAACGCGTGTGTGTGTGTGTGTGTGTGTGTGTGTGTGTGTGTGTGTGTGTGTGTGTGTGATGAGTAGGTTTATGGGTCGGGTTAGTGTAAGGGGACAGAATATTCAGTTTGTACAGTATAAAAACCATTACATCTATGGAGAGTCCCCATTTAGATAGCTAAGTAAACGCGCGCGCGTGTGTGTGTGTGTGTGTGTGTGTGTGTGTGTGTGTGTGTGTGTGTGTGTGTGTGTGTGTGTGTGTGTGTGAGTGTGTGTGTGTGTGTGTGTGTGTGTGTGTGTGTGTGTGTGATGAGTAGGTTTATGGGTCGGGTTAGTGCATGTAAGGGGACAGAATATTTAGTTTGTACAGTATAAACCATTACATCTATGGAGAGTCCCCATTTAGAATTTTTTTTTTACTGTATTTTGATTTACAGTAAATGAAAAATACTGTATTTTAGTGGCGCCAAGGGGATATTTTTCCCACAATGCAACTTTAAAATACAGTAACATGCTGTATAACTGTCCTACAGTAAAATACAGTTAATTTTACAGTTAAATACTGTGAAATTTACAGAAATTTCTAACAGTGTAAGTAAGTGTGTGTGTGTGTGTGTGTGTGTGTGTGTGTGTGTGTGTGTGTGTGTGTGTGTGTGTGTGATGAGTAGGTTTAGGGGTTGGGTTAGTGTAAGGAGACAGAATAGTTAGTTTGTACAGTATAAAAACCATTACATCTATGGAGAGTCCCCATTTAGATAGCTAAGTAAACGCGTGTGTGTGTGTGTGTGTGTGTGTGTGTGTGTGTGTGTGTGTGTGTGTGTGTGTGTGTGTGTGTGTGTGTGTGTGTGTGATGAGTAGGTTTAGGGGTAGAGTTAGTGTAAGGAGACAGAATATTTCGTTTGTACAGTTAAAAAAAACCATTACTTCTATGGAGAGTCCCCATTTTGATAGCTAAGTAAACGTGTGTGTGTGTGTGTGTGTCAGTCAGAATATTTAGTGGCCTTAATTAGTCTTAACCATTTTATTCACAAATCACTGGTCAAGAAATGAGTCATAATTGCACAAACACTGTAGATAAAGTAAGTTTGCTCTTCCGCCGACAGCTTTTCACAGAAGAAGAGTCCGTGTCGTTCCACTCAATGTTAATGGCTTCAATGAAAAATGTCTCCGTTTGTTTTGAGTTTAAATATTCACTATAGGGTTCAAATCTTGACTCTGACATGAGCCTGATGGACTTGTTCTCGTGGTTGTGTTTTGCAGTGTGTGCAGGAACATCGTCTTGTTGAAATATAACATCTGATCG